AGCCCTGGCTGAGGGCATGGCAGGGGGAGGGTTTTCTTTTTATAAACATCTGGTTTACTAGTGGCTCTTCCTCACCTCAGCTGACCCAATAGCTGTTGCAACAGCAGATGGAAGCACAAAGCCCACACGTTTTTGGTACAGGAAGCCATTAACATGTTATCTATTTAGATTTGCAGGAAGTCATGCGTTTGGTGCAAAGGTGAGATTGAACCTCACTGTGTCTGAGATTAAAGCAAGTGGCTCATGAAGTGCTATGGGAACTTGAAAGAAAACTCCAGTGGCTCACCACCAAGTTCATAACCCATCTTAAATTCAGTACAGCCAACAGCACAGTTATAATTTCCTGATTTATTTGCTCAAAGGAAAGACTATCCTCAGTAGTTTCCCGCAGCTGCCAGTTCTCCTTTGCAGCCACTGATCCAAGTAGTAACATGAAACACTTTACCTGTCTTAAGAAAGATAGTCGGGGATCCAGCTGTGAAAGCCATGTAATTTTTCCTGCATATTTATTAATTTGGCTTATCATGGAAAAAAATAATAAAAATGGAGAGAGGGGTGACTCTTATTTCTTCTTTTAATCTGTTTTGGTATTATTTTTTTAACTAGACAGAAAGCCAGAGGTATCTTACCTGCCTGCTTTCGTGATGATCATCTCTGTCCCAATGTCATGAAATCTTTTCCAGAGGTCAGCACACTGCAGCTCTACCTGGATCTCTTCCATGGATGAAGGTGGAGGAGGTTGAGGGCCTGAGCCACCAGATGTAAGGTCGGAATGGGAGCCAAATGAGCAGGACGTCCTTTCTGCCAGCACCTCTGTGTCTGACCCAGTGCTCTGCTCTGAGTCTGCAAAGTAAACATGCTAGGTAAGACACTTCAGTTCTACCTGCTGTGAGTAGGGCTAAAGGGAGGGAAGAGGAAAGCCAACAAGGGAAGTGCTAAAGAACTGTATAGTGGCCTAACGTATATACACACACATATACACAAATATATTCATGGTTTGTTGTGATTTATGGCCTGATAAAGGGATTTGCATTTTCAACAGGACATCTGGCATTTTTGTAAAATTTTAGAAACAGCTGAAAAAAAGGACCTTCAACATAAAATAAAAACAGTAACAAACATCACCATAATGCTGGGAATGGAGTACAAAATAGAGATTAAAAAATAGGAAAAAAAATAAAAAAAATAATAATAATAATCATGATAATAATAATAATAATTCAACCCATCCCTTCAATCCAGGACTAGATGGGCTCACTGGAAAACTACATTCCATTTAATTGAATATACTGCCACACAACTATTGAAGAGTTGGCTATTTTTAAGTAACACTCTTTTTTTTTTTTTCTTTTAATATTGTTGTCATAAAAAATAATGAGCCTTTTTTTTTTTTTTTTTTTTTTTTTTTTTTTTGGCACACCATTTTTGGGAAATGTTTTTT